CATTTGCTGTTCAGCAGAAATTGACCAATCACGGTTGAAACTTAATTTACCGATTAGGTTAATTGGCGTTGGTTGAGACCGGCTCTCGGAATATTTAGGCTATATTTTTATTATTAAAAAATAAAATACTTCTCAGTACTTTAAATAATAAAAATATATGTAACGATAATTTTGTGTAATAAGTTAGAATAGAATGGAAAAAGGAAATTTTGATTAGTAATACGCTTTTGTCCAGCCATTCTATTCTCAGTCCTGGGCAACTGAGGTGTAATACTCCACGTAATTCACGTTGCAAATGAATTGGTTGGTCAATTTGTAAAATTCTTTCTTTTAACTAGTTAACGAAGCATTTGCAACGTTAAATAGATTACATTCTTTCATAAAAAAGTGAAGTATTGTGCACCTATCTGCATCTGCACCAAAACCATGTGGAGCATGTGGACTGTATAGATATGTACCTGCACGTGTATGAAGGTTAAGATGTTAAACTAGAAATTTTATTTATATAATTTTTAAGTAAATATATTTATGTAATTTTAAACGTTTTATGTGTGTGCACACAAGTGTCAAAATGCAATTGAAATTGTTTGAAAAAAAAAACTTTAATCTTATGGATACATAAGTGTAATTTGCTGGATTGTTTAGCTTAATAAAAGGTTAACGCTTATGTCCGTAAAATTAGAGTTTACGGACAATTTACATTGTATTTTGATATTTGGGTGTATATATATATAAGTAGAAAGACGGTGGAAATATGACTGTGAAGATGAAAGGCGACGGAAATATGGTCGTGAAGAGGAAAGGCGGTGGAAGTATAATTGATCAACGTCCACTGTTTTCTAGCGATGGAGAGTAAGTTTAATTTTAGTTTCTATTTTAAATTCTATTTTATTTTCTTGAGGTTTTAGTCAGGCATTATATATAACAATATGTAATGTATATTTTGTATTTCAGAACTCTGTACATAGCGTGGAAGAATGTCATAAGGGTATACAGCACGCATACAGGAGACTTTGTGCGAGAGTTCGAGCCCTTGGGTTACAGAATTGCCGGAGTAATACCGCATCCAGATAACGCCAGTATTATTATTGGTTGTACCGAAAACAGTGAACTGTATTTCTGGAATTGCCAAAGTGGAATAATTACTAAGAAATTAGTAAGAGCTTAAAACGTTATTTTTTTTATAAATAAAAGTAACATTATCTTTAATATAAAAGAAACATCTTTAATATATATTCAAATTATATAATAGATACATAATGTGTACTTGTTATTAATTTTTATCTCATATACTTGGATTTTTAACTTTTAACTCTTTGAGTTCTTAAATAATTTCTTTCTTGTTTATTACAAACTTGTAGGTATTAAATGATATTGTATTTATATTTTTACAGCAATTAAAATTTCTAGCAAATGACAAAGCAAAAATTAAAACCTTTCACATTGTAAAACACAGAACAGCTCAGGGAAATGAAATATGTCAAACATTAATAACTCATTTCTCTGATTGTGGAAACAAAATATATGTACTTTTATTTGATATAGAAACTGGAACATTTATAAAATCAATATGTATCTGGTAAATATTTTAAATTTTTTTTCTAAGTTTTGTTTGATAGTTACGTAACTCATTTTTGATAATTTATTATTTACTTTTTTTTTAGGACCAAGTCACAAGAGTATTATACTGATATAATTGGGAATCATGGAGAGAATTTAATAGCACTTTCACATGAAACAGATTTACATATATTAAATCCAGCTAGAAATTTAGTTGATACAATGTAAGATATTTTGGAATTATGTATAATTATTTATATGTGTGATAGAATATATTTTAAATACTTAATTTTGATGTAGACACAAGACTGGTAAAACTGGTAGAGTACCTACTTGCATAGCGGGACATCCAGAAGAAGAATGTGTTGCCACCGGAGATTCTACAGGTCGTGTATTAGTATGGAGAAATTTATTCCAAACTAGACCATATACAGCCGTTTTTCATTGGCATACGTTACCGGTTACAGAAATAGTGTTTAGCAAGTCAGGTAATAGGCGTTAAAAATTTATATTTGCAAAGTATTTTTCACAAAGCAGTAATTTAATATGGCACGATATAACACATTTCTTTGTTTTACAGGTGGCCATATGTATACAGGTGGTGGTGAGTGTGTATTGGTAAAATGGACTTTAGCAAATCCCAAACATAAATCATTCCTTCCACGATTACCGGCGCCTATTAAACATCTTACTATTGCACCAGATAATTTATATGTTGCTGTATCGACTTTAGACAATGGTACAATTTTTTATCATGAAAATTCGAATTAATATAATGAGTTTATGACTAATTATGTTTTTACTATAAGGTATTGTTATTGTAAATCCTCAAAGAAAATTAACATCAGTGATACAAAACTTTACGTGGGGTGTTGCTTCTTCATCCAAAGATCTATTTCCTGCGGGGCTTATCGTTGACCCAAGAACAGGTAGTCTTGTTCTAAATAGTCGTACTGGACACGTACAATTTTATAACATTCATACAAAAAATCTGTTGTACAATGTGAGTAGATTACTACATATTAAAAGCAAAGCGATATAAAAAGAAAATTTGAATAAATAAGTAAAAGACTAATAAAACTTTGATAAATTTTTCAGATTAATATAACTGCTCAAAATTTTCTGACCCAAGAACGTGATGTAATTATTGTAAATACAGAAGTTACAAAAATAGCTCTAAATCATGATGGTACATGGATGGCAACAGTTGAAGAACGAAATGATAAAGTTTCATCTATAGAAGTTAGATTAAAATTCTGGCTCTATGATTTGAAAAAGCAAATGTAAATATATATAAATCTTATATTTGTTGAACTAACACTGCAATACCAATATATAACTTATCAACATTCTAGATTTGTATTAAATACATCTATTGAATTACCTCATGAAAATGGAATAAATGCGCTACATTTTCAACCAGATACGACATTTGACGATGGAGAATGGTTAGCTGTTACCACTGGGAGAGATAATAAATTTAAATTATGGAATTTGAAAAAATCGTCCACTGTAGAAGGTACATATATCTAATTATCTATTTTGTGTAATAAAATAGCTTCATTAAAATTTAGCGAAATGTATGTATATTATTATTTGTTATAATTATATTTATTATAGATAAAGAGACAAAACACTGGTATTGTTACGGAGTTGCAGATTATCGTAATCTAGCCACTATAGATGCGGGTTTTTCAGTTGATGGTTCGTTATTAGCTGTTGGTTTTAATTCTACCTTAACTTTATGGCTGCCTGAAACCTGCGAGTTAAAATCCAGCCTTACACATTCTCAGTATAATGAACCAATATCGTAAGTCAAGAAAAATAAAATATATCCTATAATTATTTTAATAAGTACATTCTTAGTTAAACATGGAAAACGATCTTTATAAAGGCATAATTGTAAAATGTTTACAATAGACGAATAGAATTCGGCAAACACGAGGCCTGTCATCTTGTTGTGGTTGTGTCTCAGCAGCACATAACAGTTTGGAATATTTTAACTCTTGCTATAACATGGAGTGTACCCTTGAATGTCGTGAGTCTCACATGTGACTTAAAATCTACATACATGGCAGCATTTACATCTGACAATTCATGTATGTTGTACAGTATATAAATGCCTCTTTATTATATACTATTTATTTTTATATATTGTAATATATATATATATATATATATGTTGTTTTTTTATCATACAACAATCTCATAATCACATCATTATGTATATTTTCTTATATTTTTATCGTATTTTATTATTGTGTTTTAATAGAAAGATTTATTTGCTTTTAGTATATGTGTTTACACCACAAAGTGCAACACTCATTTATAAGAAAACGTGCCTTATTGAAAGTACCAGTTCTATATTAGCGGCTACTTTCGTACCTCATCTACAGGAAAAACGTAATCCTTCCTTTGGCCAATGGCAACGAAAATCACAATTATTCTTTTTGAATTCAAATCAGGTATATTTTTAGATTAAATAAATTTATGTCTAATTGTGTAATGTTTGAATTAATTTGATATGTAAATATATTTATATTTTATTACCTATTATTGTACTCTCTGTTTAGGAATTGCTCACATTGGAGCCAGAATCTGAAGCGAGTGTTTCTTTAGAGATTATTTCAGACAAAGGAACTATGCCATTGACTGTTTTCTCCAACTTTATAGCGACTCAAACGTCTTCAAGCAAAGAGCCAACTGTCGCGCAAGTTCATGAACATCTTGGCATACCAGCGAAAGGAATGATACAAGAAGTAAGTAGAATTTTGCGTTTTGAACATTTTTATGCAAAGATTCCTTCAAGTCGCATTCTTTATGTATAAATTTTCTGAAATTAGAAAACATTTTTATGAAATAAATATATTATAATTAAAATCAATTTAAAATAGTATATTGTAATTTATATTTTGTTATGTCATAAACAAATTGAAATATTTGCGACTTTTAGGATTTTTGATAAATTTCTTCTGTCAGCAATATTCTTGCAATTAGTATGCCAATAAAAAAATTTATTTGGAAAATATAAAAAAATTTTATTATATTTGAGATCAAATTTACATTAAGTAAACAAACTGAGACAATTTGCAAAATAAATAAGAGTTTACTAAGCTAAAGTAAATGTAAAAAAGGAATAGAAGATAACAAATGAATTATTTATACATATTCTATAAGAGAGAAAATATAAAAATTCATTTTAATATTTTTTTTGCATGTATCTCATGTAAAATTTAAAATCAATAGACATGAAAACAGAAGTCTTTTGAAAATTTCATACATATATGTATATGCAGATAAAGGATTTATCAATGAAAATTAAATTATAAAATATGATATTTCTCTTATCATGATTGTCAGTCGCACTTAATGCAGATTTCTTCGATATAAAAACATTCTAAATTCTTTTTCTAACATAAATGCTTTTATGGATGTCTTTATATAATTTAATTTAATATTTTTAAATTTTATTTAAATAAACTTAAATTTATTTAATTTAATGAGTTGAAACGGAGTGTTCTGCACGATTGGACGACGAAATTTGCCATAATGTATTGCCAATCGTGGATCATATTGAATGTCCATTTGTCAGTGTCTTCTTCCCGAGCGATAATTCCGACAGCGACGGACAAAATCAAACTTTCTATAGCGGAGACAATGCCATTGTGGAATCTGCCTCATATTCTCGATCGCCTGCAAATTATATAGCTTAAACAGAATTATTAGGATTACTGTAAACAAAAGACTAAAAAATTACCAGTGCGTTAGAAATTAATGAAAGTGCGAATAGGAGGAAAAAAATTATCTAACATAATGTCCGATCGCATTAATCGAAATCAGGTCGAAGCTACTGACAATGAGAAGGATTAGAAGTTATTGACATCTTGGCGAAAAGTCTTCCTATTTACTTAAGATCATGTACCACCTACGGCTCAATATGGTTGGACACATCATCGCACTCTCAGACAAATAAAGATTAATTTAACGAGGACCGTTCAATGACCAACGTCCACTTGTACTTTCGACATCCCACGTGCTTACAATGGAGAAAAATATGAGGTGCATTTCTTATAATTGACGCTCAGCGAGAAAAGAGAACGTTATGCTTGTGCGTTATTTGCGTCTTGTACATTAGCAAAATCCCGTGATTTAAAAAATCAGTAAATCGCATAATTTTCAACTATATATCATTCTCAATATTAGTATCGACTCCGACGAGATATCGCATACAAAGACACTTACTGCTTCGCTGTTGCTGGCGGGATATCCGAAGGCGATCACTGCGAGTAGTAGTGTTGTAAACAGGCACGACATCAATTTTAATGCAGTTAGCTTCATTCTTGAAACCGGCTTTTGTTCCGGTGAAATGGGAATGCTTAAGAAGGTCTCGACTCTGGATTTTTTTGGAGTTCTTTTCTCAATTCTCTCCAGCCTATTCCGTCTTCTCGATTAATGATTACAATCGGATTCCTCTTCGAGTTCTTCCTAAACAGTTTCTTCCTTCAGCGAAAAATTCAAATTAATCGAAATTTATCTGCATCAAAGTGTTCCACAGAGCTACGTCAAGTGGTTTTACCCATTACAATTTTTTATCAATGCGTGAAGTCAATGAACCAACACAGTCCAACGCGAAGAAGATAGTAGGCGAAAAAATATTTAATAGTCCTTATAACAATCGGAGGACACAGGGCAGACCCTTCATGTGTGTTCCAACGCTCCGCGAACGACTGGCTTTCAGCAGAAGTCTCGCCATGATTTAATATAGAGACTCCCACCCTCTCACGGCGTTCTAGTTGTCCCTTTAGGACGACTGAACAACAGGAAAACTTCGTTGGAAATCCTGTGCTTCTCACGTCACAATCGTTGTATTGCGAACTCTATTGCTTCGGCACCTATTCATATGCATTCTTACGTGTATATATATATATTTTAGTTTATTTTGACGACGTTATCACAAAGTCGTCTTTTCTTCGTGTGGGCGGAAAGTTGGCCTGGCAAATTGAACAGTGCGAGGTAGCGTTGTATTGGAAAAAGCAGATAAGGGCAAATGTAACATGCATCGCATTCGTATCGAATAATTAATCCGACGTGTTAAAAATAAATTCAAGAAAAATATCTCATCGAGAAATTTATCGAAAGTAGTTACGCGCAAGACGTAACGTATTCTACTGCTATCAAAAATGTACGCGTTTTAAAAGTAACTTCGTCTGTCGCTGTTCATTCTTATTAAAAACACTTAGGATTTTAATTATCATTTTGAGATTTAAAGTGCGTGTTCTTGAAAATTGACTTACATGATCATTGAACTTGTTGTGCACTGTAACAAGGTGTTTTATCTTAATTAAAACATTTTACTCGGAGCATTGAAGAAATATTTTGTGACAAAGTTAGTCAAAATGAGAGAAAAAATTTATAATATTTCATAACATTTGAATTGAATAATCTATTGTTTATGATTTTTTATGTTCAAAAATAGACATCTGAACATCTTCATTTAGTCAGGTCAGTTTCAAATTTTATCTGATTTATAAATCTAGCGATACGGCACGATCTCAATACAAATTATATCACATCAAAAATGTATTGTTGAAAAGAATAAACATATGATATTGAAACAGTTGAAATGACTTCATCCGAACAAAATCCGGGCAAAATAAACGTCACGAAAAATTACTCACTTTACGATTATCCGAATATGTAAAAATATGGTGAAGTTTGTATTTCGCTTAATTTTCAAAGTATTTCACCGCATTGATTACAATAGGACACCTTGGCGCGATGCGAAAATAGCAAACGCTGTTGCAGAATTGTCTGAGATTGCTTGCAAATGTAAAACCAGGCCAGCAGGAAAACAGTCTTATCTTCTTCGCTGACCGTCTCGATTGTTGCGATTGATACCTACTAATAAAATGCCACACCGGTACAGAGGGCAAAGTTTAAATCAATCTGTCTCATTGACACACCACTACCAACGTTTTGTAATGATATTTTATGATTTTACACTATACCTTTAATTTTTTTAATTTGTTAGCATTTTATATTTATCTAAATTAATTTATGGATTTCTTATTTCTTTAGTTTATTTATATTCTTAATATCTGTTGATGACTTCAATATTATTTATTTATACTTTTCACAAGTGAACGTCTTAAATTGCAAAAGTAGTACAAAATAATTAACGTTATCAGTTGAAAGATTACGTTTACAATAGGTATTCTAGATGGTCAAATCTTAAAATCCTATGGATTCTATACTTGGACCGAAACATTTGACCATTTTAATTTAGACACAAAATACTTCGAGAATGCATTTTTGAAAAAAGTATTTCAAATAAAAGTTGTTTCAAGAAGACTATCAAATAAATTATTTAGATTTTGGATTCAAGGCTTACTTCGGGCATAATAAAGTCTAAGGTGATTTTGTTTCGATAGAAACGTCTGTTATAGATTCGTATTTTATAGAAAAAAATAAGGAACATTTGTTCCTTGTAATTTTTCACTAAATCTCCTTTAATAGTGCTCAAAGTTCTTATCTTGAAATACATATCGCTCAACGAAGGCAAGACCAGCGGACAATTTTTTTTATATATTGAAATAAATTGCCTTCATTGGCTTAATTTTCCGCTAGTCCTGTTTTTATTGGCCGGTATGTATTTCAAAATAAGAACTTTGAGCGTTATTTTGCGCCTATTAAAGGAAATTTAGTGAAAAATTATCAAGAACAAATTTCTTTATTTTTGTTCCATAGAATACGAATCTGCGATAAAATATAAGCGTTCCCAGAAAAAAAATTTGGACCTTATTGGGTCCAAAGTGGGCCCTAAACCTGATCACCTAGATCACCTAGACCTTTGATCACCTAGAATACCTACTTCAAGTGTAATTTTTCGATTAATAATGTTAGTCTTTTAATATCATTTTTGCAATTTGGACCGTGTAAGACATCCACTAATTATAGTCTATTAAAACATTCGCACTAAATGGAAAGGCTAGACATGTTTTTCTACGCTAAAAATAGCGGTTTTGCGCTTAAAAATAGACCAGAATATCTTCTTTTTTTACGTTTCACATATTATGCGCAAGTACTTTAATAAGTACTTTATGAATAACCGCGTCACATGTCATAAACGTCAGACTTTACGCGTATGTAATTGTCTTGATTATAGTGATAATAAGCTATATTCTGGCCATCTCAGTCATTTTTCGTATGAACAGCTTTGCGAATATTGTCGTCATGATTCTTTGAAATTGACCGACAATCGCGTCATTCTGAAATGAGAAATGTCAAATAATATAAATATGGACTAAATGCATCATAATGTCAGTAATTATTGCTACTTGTGAGAGATGAAATAAAAGATTTTTCCTTAAAATATTTTTAAAGGAGTATTATAAATCTGCATAATTTTACGAAATAATTGCGTATTATTTAAAGTATTCATTTATTCGAAAAGAAAACCGTTGTATTTAATAATATAACAATATAAACTTGTTATTCAAACAGCAGATATTTATCAACAAAATTAAAGTGCATTTTAACTTTTCGACTATAATACATATATATGCGCATTTGTCACTAAAGTGTACACGTTACGGAGAATATTCGTGTGGGTTGCAACAGACGAATCAACCTAGATCTGAAGTAGAAGATTGCAGGAATTGCACAAATTTCACTTGGAGGTGTGCTGTGTGTCAGCTTTAAAATTAATTAACCAGTCATCTAACCGACCGATTATCACAAGTGCCGCATACGTGGCAAACATACTTTTGAACCTATCTTGCGACCGAAGCGTTCCATTAATGTCTACAACGTTGTTTTTTTTTTTTTTTTTTTTTTTTTTTGATCGATGGTTCCACAGAGTATATTCGCTTATAATCACTTAACATTTATCATCGTTCTTGTTTTTCAGTTACTTAGCGTTCCAGCTCATACTTTGCCACCGATGAGACTGCTGTGCACGTCATTTATTTTGTCGCTGGCAGGACAACAACCGTTAAAAAATCAGAATTCCAGAAATGCCGAAAACTCTAGGTATACAGAATAAACTTGTGCAAGTTACATTTGCTAAAGTTGTCAGACTTTATTACTTTGCTTTATGTGAATGAACATTGTGTATATATTTATTCTTTTATAATTTTCAGAGATAGCGATGACGATGGTCAGGACAATGCTTCAGATGTAAGTGATATCGAGATATTACCGCCGTCGAAACCTGTGGTCACGTCGACGAATGAGAAAGAGGATATGGATGAAGATGCAAACGCACAGCTTACCAGTCACGACTGGTCTTTCCTATCTGCTATATTTCCTGATCAAGATAACATTCTTTGATTCGTGTAAAAATTATTGTGCGAACTATGATGGTAAGATAATAAAATTATCAATTATTGATCAATACATCTCTCGTAAAATAAAATATATAAAAGACATACAAAGTGCAGTGATGAAACGTTAATAAAAGATTTGGATGCGTGCGAATCAACTATATAAAGTATATACCTAATTTAATTAAGATGGTTTTGGTAATTGATCTAATCGTGAGGCAAGTTCGGCAAGTTCGATGACAGCTTCGCTGATCCTTTTATTGTAAACTGGATCTTTCTTCATGTTTAAGAGGACAAACTCTTTCTTGTCTCGAAAATAAAACTTGACGTAAGATGCCGGATTGTTCATTACTTGCGCGGCAAGATTATCGTCCATTAAAACCGTAGGAAAGAAGAGTACCGTGGCAATAACGGCGCCTAGACGTTGTTCTTCCATACCTTCGATTAGCTCTGACCATGAGGGTATTTGCACACGGATTTCGTGCATGTTTAGAGTCTCCTGCAACGTGTCATAATAATGACGCAACATTGTACTCTCCCAAGTTTCTCGGAAGCTCCGGTCTGTGCACAGATACAATAATTGTGCCACGTCATGCGCCAAGGGAGAATATCTCAATAATTGGAAGTCTACCAGCAAGCATTTAGGCGGCACGTCGTTATTGAAGAGAAGATTGTTAGCCCAAAGATCCCCGTGACTAACCACGTTCGTCTTTGTGCGCGATGGCTTTATAGAATGATATATCTCTTCGCAGACCGAACGTATCAGATCGGGATCATATCCCAAATGTTCGGCTACGACTGTGGCTACATCGATGCCTGATTGCATCCACTCCCGCGTCATTCCTTCGTGAGCGTAGCCTCTCTCCACGAAGGCGTCAGGATACAGCCGGTTGAGAGATGTGCCGAGACGAGTTTCCGCTAGCAAAGAAGCGGCATGCATTCGCGCGAGAGCACTTAAACCCGCACATATTAGTGACTTATCGAATAACTTGTCCCGTATCGAGTAGCCCTTACCACTTAATTCCTCAAAAACTATCGAATCGCTTTTTACTTTGTAGCACATCGCCGCCCATGGTTCTCCGCAATATCCTTCGAGAAGTAATGGCATTATGGTGCTATAAAATGTTGTTTCTTGCTTGAAGACACCCTTTTTTATAATGTAGTCGGCTGAATCGGGCAGGTCATAAGGTACGGCCTTGATAAAGAATGAAAGAGTAATGGTTTCCTTTTTTCTCATAGCTGTTACATCGAGCCGATAATGAGAGCTAAGGTATCCGAGCCTGCCGTTGGAGTACGGTCGAATAGCGTATTCTATTAGATCGGTGTCATTACTCAGCGCGCGTTTTGTTATCTCCTTCACTTCTTCAAAAAAGAACAATTTGTTAATATCATTATTCTTGGTGACATTGATGGTTTCCATTTGTAAGATATTCTTTTATTCACCGTATCAGACAACTGTGTTCTTTCCGTAAACGATACTTTCGGGTAATTGAGAATATCGGGACAATCGGTTCTTTATATACTGTTGTATACATGTCGACGATGCATTATATTTACTTATTTATTAACCGATCCTGTTGCATATATATATAACGTAATATTTCCATCAAGATATCTTCCGATAAAAGCTTTCATCACATGACATTTTCAGAATGATGTAATAAAATTAAGCTTGATATACGTTAAAATCATCTGTTTCTTGTACAGGGTGTCTCAGATACTCCTCATCTCTATATTTCTTTTATCTTTGCATGATAAAGTTTAGTCCAAAATATGTTCAGACAATAGTTTTAGGGTTTAAAAAGATCTACTACTCATCTTATTAATTTGACTTTGAGTAACGTCATTAAGGTCAAATCAAGGTTACATTCCTCGCTTCTGACGTCACGATTCCAACATGGCCGTCGCGACTACTCAGCAGCCTTAAGTACTTTTTGAATTATAAGATTTGAAAGTTACAGTACCGTCGGCATTAGAGCATTATCTAAGGTGTTCGATTGATGATTAAAACCTTTTAAATGTTGTTCAGAGTCATGATCTTGACATCA